CCAGCAGACTCTTCAAAGGGACAAAAGAAGCCCCCCCCACCGCCGTTAAGACAAATTCTATATATAGACATCCAAGACAATTATATGATGCACATAACCAAATATATATAATTATCCTAGTTTCTGCATTCCCATTATCTTCATAAATATAGGATAAAAATCAGTCTAAATGACTTTCTCAGACCTCCTCAAGGATTAAGGCGAGCCAACCAGTCTTTTGAAAGTACATATACATAGTAAAGATCAAAAGCGAATGTTCTGGTCAGTTCTTTTCTGCTCATGATTTCACTAAGAATGTGTGCAGTTTTCAGGGAAAACACCACAAATGACAGCTGCTCAAAAGCATGGGAATTAACTGGCAGCAGGAATTTCCTTGACTAATAGGGAAAAACTTGAAGTCACATGTTTTGATGAGCTTATTTTTCCCATCCTCAGTCAAGCATATTCACTGTTAATGATTAAGATTTTCAAATGGAAATATAACCAAGCACATTCTCTATCTTTTCTCACTGGAACACAGACACCCATTAATGACTGAACAATGGCATTAATGAACAGATTTTAGCTTACATAAATACAGGGAGCCAAACCAATACACAATAGCAAAAGTGCATTTATTATATTAAAAAACAGTAGCACGTGACTCCTTCTCTGCCCCCCACAGTAAGTCATCTGCTTTGAGCTGTTTTTCTGGCAGTAGGGATGGATTTACACTGATCCATCCACAGTCTATTTGACACAGGGGCTCTCAAGTCGGTGCCCTTGTGCCCAGTGGTGAGAATGGACAAGACAGCTGGTCAGGATTAGGTGAGCAGCCTGTGGCCTTGGGACCAAGTCATGTTACTGTGCCCAGAGCCCGATGCTATAACCTTGGGCTCATTAGCATTACGCCGTCATCATCCAAGCTAACAGCCACTGATCAGCCATGACCCAACACTCACCACTCAGGGGCACTCTGCATTCTCAGTCCCAGCAACAATGTGAGCCTTTTCTTTTCAACACAGTCTGAACTGAGCCCACGACACTCAAAGGCTCATGCATGAGGGAGTCTACATTAAAATTGTTCCTCAAGGCAGCAATGAGACGTCCAAGCATGAGCAACCACAGCCCTTCCATTCTAATCAAATGACAGCTCTGACAGAGCTCAAGGAAAGCAAGACATAGTCAAAGAATTTCCAAAATGTACGTACCCCAAGTGCCACAACGGAACAACATACCTGGCCATCCCCAGACTTGGAAAGTTGGCAGGGACGATGAGAACATCCAGCCGAGAGAACGGGTGTGTTCCCAGAACAGAATGTGCTGCTGAGAGGCAAGGAGGGATCAGCTGCAGAAGGGTCTCTTGGCAGGCACCCGTGAGGCACACAGGGGCAAAGACACGATGAGGAATGATCTGCTGGGTGGTGGCAGAGGCATTCTGGAAGCGGCAGGGGTATTCCATGTGACTGCAAACACCAACACGCCTGGGAACAACACAAAATAAATGGTAAACCATGTTTATCATTCTTGCTGTGGAGGTGAGGCAATCTTGCAGACGTAGACAACGCTTAGGAGACAGAGGTTCAGACGGACTCACAAGCAAAGACTGTTCATTTCAATTCTTGGTTTGGCTCTGTGCAGCAGTGAAAATTTACAGGATAAAAACTTACTCGTGTGTTTGAATCAACAGACTAGCTTCAATCTAAGGTAAGTGAAAGCACTAAAATCTTGTTTTAGAATTCACTTTGTTGTGGGGGGACCTCTAAGACTCAAAACAGTAAAACTTCTCACCAAAATACAAACAATTCCTGCCCTCGATTAGGTGTTTTCAAGTATCACCATATGAACAATCTCCAAATTAGAGACAATTCCTAACTCAGAAAGGAAGGAGCAGTACACACAAGTTAAAGATCCAATTCTGGGATTACCTAGAAGAAAAGACTTGGACTGAGGCAGAACCATGAACCCAACGAAAGTTACAGGCTCAAACTCCTCAAAAGAACACAAACCATTTTACTGAATAGTAATCTGGATGTTCTTTTCACAGCCCATCAAAAGCTGTTATTAAGGAATACAGAGGCACTTTTGATACAGTATTTTTCCCAACCCACTTTCAGTACAAATTTAACTGAGCCAACCTTTTAAGGAAGCAGATCAGACCCCCGCCTGCTTCATCTGACCACTGCCAGTTATTCCATCAAAGGCGGAACTGAAAGAGAATTCCTAGAACCTGACTCACAGGCCTCAAGAGAACTTATCTACTCAAACCTATATCCAACAGTACTCCATTTTTTCACCTGCTAACATGTCTTTTATTCAAACACAATGAAAAACCCCTCTAATCATTATTATTTATTTTATTTTATTATTTTTTTTTTAGATGGAGTCAAGCTCTGTTTCCCAGGCTGGAGGGCAGTGGCGTGATCTCAGCTCACTGCAACTTCCACCTCCCAGGTTCAAGTGATTCTCTTGACTCAGCCTCCCGAGTAGCTGGGATTACAGGGGCCGCCACCATGCCCGGCTAATTTTGTATTTTTAGTAGAGACGGGGTTTTTCCATGTTGGCCAGGCTGGTCTCAAACTCCCGACCTCAGTTAATCCACCCGCCTCAGCCTCCCAAAGAGCTGGGATTACAGGCATGAGTCACCGCGCCTGGCCTATCATTATTATTATTATTTAACATAGGGTTTCACTCTGTTGCCCAGGCTGGACTGCAGTGGCAGGGTCATAGCTCACTGTAGCCTCCAACTCCTGGGCTCAAACAATCCTCCTACCTCAGCCTCCTGAGTAGCTAGGACTACACACATGTTGCCATGCCACATGCAGTTCTATTTTTTTTTTTAAGAGATGGGGTCTGGAGATGGGGTCTCACTTTGTAAGCCAGAGTGGTCTCAAACTTCTGGCTTCAAATGATCCTCCTGCCTCAGCCTCCCAAAGTGCTGGAATCACAGGCACGAGCCACCGCACTCAGTCAATTCTAACTACAGGTGCTCACTTGATTCACAGTGAATAATGAAAAATCTTAAGATGCTGGCATGTCCCAATATGGGCAGAATGCAACAATTCCTCTCCAAATGTACGAAGCACCTTTCACTTACCCAAGGCCAGCGCTCAGGAGACCATATGGCTAGGTACAGATAAGCCTCACCTTCTACCAGCATGGGTCATGGGCCCAGCTTCCAGCACCGAAGGCATTTCACCACAGCGGAGAGTGAGAAAATGGATGGAGGCCCATAAAAACGTGTCAGAATAAGACGACATGAAGAATATAATTCTTGACATTGAATTCTGGCCAAAGTCCCTGGATTGATAACCTTGCTTTGTGGAGAGAGTGAGTCAAGGTGCCTGCTGGTGAACATTTACCTAAAAAGGCTGCAATGTCCACCTAATGACAAGTACTGTGCTGGTGCACGAATGTGGTCAAAGGTCTTGAGAAGTGAAAAATGCCATTGATTAAATTAACCACCATGATATCTTTTTCTCATGTATTTACACAGGTATATAATGTGCCACCGTCATTTCAGCTCATATCATCTCTATTGCAAAGCTTTCAGATCATGTTAAACCAGAGAAACTGGACATGTGCAGGCATCTTCTGGACACAGCTGAGGAATAAGCTCACATTATATCTACCATAGCACAGTTTTGCAAAAAGGTCATTCTAATGGCCTCTAAACACAACACAGGGAAAGATGATTTCTCGCTGCCAAGAACCCGAAAGTTAGAGAATACTGAGGTAGCCAAAGATATACTCAAAAGTGTTTGGCTTGATGAATTTCTGATGATCGTACACAACCCAAACCTGAGAGACAACATTCCGTCTCCATGGAAAGTTCTCTCATATTCTTTTCCAGTCAGGAACAAGGTGAGTTAGAGTCTCTCTGGGAATAAAAGGCACTAGTTCAGATGACGAAGATGACTCTGGTTGTGTGAATTAGTACTGTTATAATCAAAGCCTGGGAAGAAATGCAGGACTTTAAGGCACTCAAGCTCTGACCAGGTGAGAACAGTAAGGCTCCCACAGAAATGGAAATGGAAGGGGCAACAGGAAAGCCACTCTGCGCTCCCACATAGCGATCAGGAAACCTGGGCTTCACGGTTTTCTCAGACCGGCTCACTTGTGACCAAGGCAGGCAACTCAGTATCTGGGGCTTCTTTTTCCCCATCTTTAACATGGTCTCACCAAAGTGGCTGCTGGAGGAGGTAAGGAAATAGTTAGAAAAGGATAGGAGAGGCCAGACACTGTGGCTCATGCCTGTAATCCCAGCACTTTCGGAGGCTGAGGCAGGTGGATCACTTGAGGTCAGGAGTTTGAGACCAGCCTGGCCAACATGGTAAAACCCCATCTCTACTAAAAGTACAAAAAAATTAGCCAAGCGTGGTGGCGCATGCCTGTAATCCCAGCTACTTGGGAGACTGAGGCAGGAGAATCACTTGAACCTGAGAGGCAGAGATGCAGTGAGCGAAGATCGCACCACTGCACTCCAGCCTGGGTGACAGAGCATCACTCTGTCTCAAAAAAAAAAAAAAAAAGAAAAGGGTGCGAGAGAATTTACTAACTTACTGCAGAGACAGAGTGTTCTCTGTCGGGTTTAGGCTGTGTGCAACATCGTAAACTCATTAAGCTGAACACTTAAGATCTGCACATTTTGTTGTATGTTAATTATACTTAAAAGATAAACAAACGTTTTCTAAGGTTTCTTTTGGCCCTATGATTCTACAATAACTGAGCACACAAGCCATTCTTCATAGAATCGCCTTATTTCTGAAGAGGTCAGGGGGTTGTACTTTTTTTTGTTTGAGACGGAGTCTCATTCTGTCGCCAGGCTGGAGCGCAGTGGTGCAATCTCGGCTGTAACCTCCAACTCCCAGGTTCACGCCATTCCCCTGCCTCAGCTTCCCGTAAGCTGGGACTACAGGTGCCCGCCACCACGCCCGACTAATTTTTATATTTTTAGTAGAGACGGGGTTTCACCGTGTTGGCCGGGATGCTCTCGATCTCCTGACCTCGTGATCCGCCCGCCTCGGCCTCCCAAAGTGCTGGGATTACAGGCTTGAGCCACCGCGCCCGGCCGACTCTGTGCTTTTTACAAAGTAATAGTCTTCCATAGATTCAGCACCGACTCAAATATGCCGTACTTCCCACCAAAGCAACTTTTCATTACTTTACAACGCTAAAGAAGACCTGTTCCCCACCAGATTCTTCTTTCAAATAATCAGTCTCAATACGTTTTCTTCTTTGTAGTGCCCATTTTCCATGCCTTTAATCATTTTTGCTAAGTTCCTTTGGACTTTATCCAAGTTTCTGTGTCATGTTTAAACTGTGTGGCCCCCACAAAGACCTCAAGAGGTTAAAGAAACAAAACACAAAGATTCCCCTGTGGCTGAAGAAGGTTATACTACAGCTGAATAAAATTAATAAACTTTCAACAGCTTATCTGAAAGCCTGATAATCAATGTATTTACTAAAATGCTCACCCAGAGTGGCTGGAGCATGTGTGAAAGTGGAGCTGGAAGAGGGAACGTTCTCACTATAATTTTACTCACATGAACATCGATCATAAAAGTTCAGTGACCAACACTTTGGCCAAATTTCTGGAACCCAGATGAGCACTTGAGGCAAACGAAAACCTGCGGTATAGCAGGCCCCTGTGGACGTTGGATTTACATGAATTTGACTGGTGGTCTTGGGAAGGTTTGAAGTGGAACGGGTGCTGGAGAAGGCAAAAGGGACCAGATGTGAACATAACCAAAAAACACCACTGTGACTGGCACTTCAGAGCACCTTTGCTGACAAACTTTGCATGGAGTCAGAAACGTAATGGATGAAAAAAGCCACTTTCTGACAACTGAAGACGGCACACGTAAAGCGCACAGCCAGGGCAGGACTAAGCAAATGCAAGCTGTGATTTTATCAGCAGCATGTTCTTGAAGGACGAGCATCTTGATAAAGGAAGGGAAAACTCATAGTTTATGAGACATGGAACGGGGCATGGGAGGAACCCCATTCACCAGGCCTCCCAGTTTCATGGAAAGATGCGCTTCCTAGAGTGGCACCCGGACCTCTCTCCCCAGCTTACCTGACTGGCTGGGCCACACAGGCTTTCTCTTTCGAACCTGCCTGCCCACAGAGGGTGCACTTTGGACCTGCTCCTGCCATGTGTCGGGTGGACTCTGCATCTGTGTTACAGAGGCCAGCAGCAGTCCAGCTGGGCTGGTAACTGGGTGGGTAAATTTGTCTCATTTGGAAATGGAGTCTCAGAAACCCCACTGAGACCATGCACCTGAGCATTCCTTCAGTCCAGCTTCTGTCAATAATAAAACCTTTATTTTTATCTCCTCTGTCTGTTCCTCAACTGGTGAATTCAGGAGGCAAGAGAGGAGTTGTACCTGCTTCTTCCCCCAAAGCCTGACAGGAATTTTAGACATCCCAGAATCTTCATTTGATTTAAGCATTTCTTCCTCCTTTCAGAATAGTGGATGCAAGAAAACTGAGAAGCCATTTAAGCTGCTTCTGAGCAGGAAGGAGAGAGCACAGAGTCAGTGGCTGCTGCCCACTCCCCAACCCCACATCTCTTTGGAATATGGCTAGAAAGGCAAAATAACAAATGTCTGTCCTTGCCTTCCCCTAGCCTTCCAAAGGCACACATTTTCCAACTGAGCAGCTCCTCTAAGAATCAATCAGTGCTGAGGCCTTAGATGAAAAAGAGAAGAGTACTTCGTCACCATCGAGAATCTGAGGAGCCACGGACAAAGCCTTCATCTGTAGATAAGGAAGGTGTGGCTTTGTCCGAAGACGTACATCCAACCACCAAGAATGGCACTTTCAAGCTCAAGGGCATTGCTCTCGACTTCCGTTTTCTGTTCCAACACAACACACTCCCGTCAATCATGGTGGTTCAAATCATGGCAGTGACTCTCCAGATGGGAAGGTGGATCAGACTCCATGTGAGGCATCAATGTTACATACAGTTTTTTAAAGTCTCCAGGTAAGATTCTGACTCACCTCTCTCTGGGGTCAGGCCTGGATATAAATCCAGGTATTGCTACTTAGTAGGTATATTAATGTTAACAAGTTACTATCTGAGCTTCAACAGCCTGATCTATAAAATGGGAATAATAATCTATCCAATCTGTCTTGCAGGCCTATCCTTAGGACTAAAGGAGATTACATTTAGATCAAGACTTAGTTTCTGACTTGGAACAACCAATGGCTACTGTATCAATTCAGGATAGCCTAGGATATGCTGCAGTAACAAACAACCCTGGTGTTTCAGTGGCTTAACACAAAACAGTGTGCTTCTTGCTAATACCAAGTCCACTGCAGATCTAAGCGGCTCTCCAGAGCACCTGTCATCCTCACCCGGAAATTCAGGCCACCTGAAATTACAAAGCCTCCTGTGTGATCCTACTGCAGGGAAGAGAGCACGGGAGGATCTCACACGAAATTACAGTTCCCACATGAAACTAGCATATGTCACTTCTGCCCACAATTCCCTTCTTCCCTCAAGAATACAGAAGTAAAATCTAATACGCAATCTAGGATGTTCATATAGCTCAGGGAAGACAGTCCAAACTAGGCAAGCTACCGAACAGGAAGTGGAAATGACTTCCCTTCTGCCAAACAAGGCAAAATGCGGCAATAATACGTGCCCACCGGAAGACAGAGAACACAGCTTCATCTCTGAAAGGCAAAATACGGCAATAATACGTGCCCACCGGAAGACAGAGAGCTTCATCTCTGAAAGATGAAGACCAACGGCCGCAGTTACTGTGGTACTCGTAAAAGCAGCAAGGCAAAATAAAACCAACACAAAAAGAATCTGCATTAGGAGCGTATCTTAGCTGGTTTTCAAGGAGTAATGAATCATCTCTACCATTACTCTGGGCTTTCTCCACCAGAAGGTACTGACTTAGCGACCGTCTGTCAATAGGAAAAACGACTCCGTTGAGCTGGGCATAAAATCCTAGGAGCGCTGCATGATGCATGTGCTGTGCATCTTCTCGGCGGCCCCCTTCTCCCTCTTTTGGCTCTCAAAGCTAGAAACCATTGAACATCTAGACAGGCTGCCAGTAAATATCCAATGGCCTATACTAATTTTTTAAAGCCTCAAAATGATTTTATCTGGTTCATACTTAAAAGAAATCACTGATGTTAACAAAGCCCTGACCAAGCAGGATTCCCTTAACCCAAGGGCTTTGCATCAGTTTCCTTGTGTCCTGTGCTCCTAAAGCAGCGACTAGCCCCACTGAGGGAGCTGCTGTCCCCACAGTGCACCGCTGACAGCAGTCGGTACAACCAACACAGCAGAGTAGCATAGAAAGTAATCCATCAGCAGCTTTGTTTTTGACCACATAAGCACCGAAAACCAAACCTAAAAGGCATGGGAGGAGAGGAGGCATTGAATCTGAGGATTCCTTGAATTTAGCCAAACACATATAAATATTTCAGCACACTTCACAGGATTTCATATATACTTACCTTCTTCTCTCTTTCTGCATAAATAATAGGCTCACATCTCTTCTTCTCAACACTTTTTCCTTTCTTTTCCAAGACAGAGTCTCGCTCTGTCGCCAGGCTGGAGTGCAATGGCGCAATCTCGGCTCACTGCAACCTCTGCCTCCCAGGTTCAAGCAATTCTCCTGCCTCAGCCTCCCAAATAGCTGGGATTGCAGACAGGTGCCACCATGCCTGGCTAATTTCTATATTTTTAGTAGAGATGGGGTTTCACCATGTTGGCCAGGCTGGTCTTGAACTCCTGACCTCGTGATCCACCCACCTCAACCTCCCAAAGTGGGGGATTATAGGCCTGAGCCACGGCGCCCAGCCTGTCTTTCTTCTTCTTCTTTTTTTTTTTTTTGAGACAGTCTCAGTTTGTCGCCAGGCTGGAGTGCAGTGGCACAATCTCAGCTCACTGCAACCTCTGCTTCCCGGGTTCAAGCCATTCTCCTGCCTCAGCCTCCCATGTTGCTGGGACTATAGGCATCCGCCACCACACCTGGCTAATTTTTTTGTATTTTTAGTAGAGATGGGGTTTCACCATGTTGGTCAGGATGGTCTCAATCTCTTGACCTCGTGATCCACCCGCCTCGGCCTCCCAAAGTGCTGGGATTACAGGCGTGAGTCACTGCGCCCGGCCCTCTCTTTCCTTTCTAACGGGGCTTTTCCTGCTTTGATTAATCCTATTTTGGTTTAGTTTCTCAGCAGGAGTGACTCACATTCCCAGTGCTTGGAAGAAATGCAGCATACCACTCCCTCAAGTGTTTTTCCCTTCCCAGCAAGTCCCCCCACACAAACCTGAAGTCGGCCTCAGAAGGTGAGAAGGGTGTCTCTGTTGCCGAATCACCCGATGAGCACGGCTCCATCTTCACTTCTGTCCAGCATCCCACTGCAATTGTGAAGGTGGAGGCTGGCATCGGCATGGTTACGTAGTAATACCAGCTTGAGCACCCTATAAACAGGAAGAGAAAACCCGTAATGAGGCCAATATATGATTCTGGGCTCTGCTGTGTAATTTCCTCTCTTGCGGCACTTGAAGAGCTTTTGCGATAAGCTGGTGAGAGCCAGCTCTTGGCGGTCGGTCACGTCCGCAGAAAGGGCACTACTTCAGGTCTCAGGGAAAGCACAGGAGGGACGACGGCTTCAAGGCAACTAGGAAGGTCTGGTCTCTTCCACGGATCAGTCTGAAGCCCTTCACGTGAGGGCAGCAGTGCAGGGGTCCCTCTCAGCTGTACACACAGCAGGCTGTATGCTCCTACAGACAGAATATGTCTCATTCATCCAACACAGTATTTAGCATTTAAAAAATACTCAATTGATACCAGTTGAATGAGTGAAAGAGTGAGCAAAGCAATGATTGCTTTGTGCTGTAACTATCTTGTCCAAATTCAGTTCAGGCCAATCTAAACACATGAGACTAGGGAAGGGGGACACTTGGGTTTTCACGCCCACTCTGAAATTAATTAGCTGTGGGAGTTCAGGTCTTACCCTTAGTCCCTTTTACCTGTTTAGCTGGTCTTCCACTCCTTGCTGAGCAGATGAAAAGCAGGTGTAGAGGTTCAACAGAGCCAAGGACTCCTAACTAACTAGCTTGTAACAGGACTGGGATTAGAGCTGGGGCTCCCCATTCCAGTTGAGGGTGTACTCTCCACTTGGTCCAAACCTTAGAGGCTTTTTATCAAAGGAATGAATGGCTGATAACTTATAACACTATACTCCCCTCATTTCTAAGACGTAAAAATGACTTTCACGTTTCTGAAATCTGAATGTGTCATACAACCTGATTTAACATAGTATTTTTTCTGAGCATCTGCTATACATTAATCATGTGTCTTAAGAAGAATTGATATCATCTTTTTTTAACTTTTATTTTAGGTTCAGGTGCAAGTTTGTGCAACAAACTTGGGTAAACTGCATCATGGGGCAGGGTGGGAGCAGGTTTAGTGTACAGATTATTTTGTCACCCAGGTAATAAGCATAGTACTCAACAGGTAGTTTTTCTTTTTTGAGACAGGGTCTTGCTCTGTTGTCCGGGTTGGAATGCAGTGGCGTGATCACAGTTCACTGCAGGCTCAACCTCTTGTATACCCAATATCCAATGTCTCAAGTGATTCTCCCACCTCACCCTCCCAAGTAGCTGGGACTACAGGTATATGCCACCACACCCACCCAGCTTAATTTTTTTGTTTTTGTTTTTTTTTTTAGAGAGACAGGTTCTCACTATGTTGCTCAGGCTAGTCTTGAACTCCTGGGCTCAAGCAGTCCTCCCACCTTGGCCTCCTGAAGTGCTGGGATTACAGGCTTGAGCTACTGTGCCCAGCCTGATAGGTAGCTCTTCTGTCCTCACCCTCCTCCCACCCTCCACCCTCAAGTAGGCCCTGGTGTCTGTTGTTCCCTTCTTTGTATCCATGTGTACTCAGTGTTCACCTCCCACTATAAGTAAGAACGTGCAGTATTTGGTTTTCTGATGCTGTGTTAGTTCACTTAGGATAATGACCTCCAGCCCCATCCATATTGCTGCAAAGGACATTATCTCATTCTTTTTTATGACTGCACAGTATTCCACGGTGTAGGTGTACCACATTTCTTTATTCAGTCTAACATCGATAGGCATTTAAGTTGACCCAATGTCTTTGCTATGGGATATCACCTTCTGTTACGGAACACGTTTCTCCTCTCCTCACGCTCCCAGAGGGAGGAGCTTCTGTTACCACAAATCTCTTTCGGCCCTTCACACCCTCCTTCAGAGAAACAGCTATCGTTCTTTTTCTTGCCTTAAGTTTTAGAGGTTTAAACACATCTGACATCCAATCACTGACCAAACTGGCCTATGGTTGTCCAATGTGGTCCGTGATTGGATGTCAAATTCCGAGCTGAAATATTAACATGCCCCTACTGGCCGGCAGACCTAACACGACATTTTTTAAAGTGCTTTACCAGTAAAAACCAAGAATAGAGATTAGATTTTGATCTCCATGTGCATAGTTCCTTTGTCTATCTCAAAACAAATTCTGAACTCAGGAAGGTAGGACTTAGTTAAAAATAAATAATACTTTGGTGAGATTCAAGTTTGGAAGCCATGAAGGGAGTTACTTGAGAGAGAGACACAAAAGGACATGGTCAGAACTGCTGGACACCCCCCAGAGCCAGCCATTCTCTCCAACCTGCCTGGAAGCTGTACCCTGCTTCTGGAACCACAATGGCCGCTCTTGAGACCCCTTTCTTTGCAGCTAAGAAGTTGAAGGTAGGCCAGGAGCTGTGGCTGTAATTCCAGCACTTTGGGAGGCCGAGGTGGGTGGATCACTTGAGGTCAGGAGTTCGAGGCCAGCCTGGGTAACATGGTGAAACCCCATCTCTACCAAAAGCACAAAAATTAGCCAGGTGTGATGGCACGTGCCTGTAATCCCAACTACTTGAGAGGCTGAGGCAGGAGAATTGCTTGAACCTGGGAGGCAGAGGGTGCAGTGAGCCGAGATCGTGCAACTGCACTCCAGCCTGGGTGAGACTAGGTCTCCAACAAAAAGAACAAGTTGAAGGCATACTCCTCCTTAAAGGGACAATTAAATCCAGAGACATTGAAGCCAATCAAGTGATAGCTTCTACTGGGCATGAAGCAAAACCACAGCCTCAAAGAGAATCACTGCTATGATTCCAAGACAGTAAGAAGGAGGTAGGGACAGTCACAGACGTCTTGATGAAAGAATGACACGGATATGACAGGATGGGCTATACGGACTCCACCTCTCCTATTTTTCTGTCTTCCCATAACTACCTACATTCCCTGGAACCCAGTGCCTCCCATGACTGCTCCATAAAAACTTTCATTTTCTACTGGAAACACAATGAGAGTTGAAGCAGGTAGAAAGGAGTGTGCAGATGGAAGGAGGAGGAGGAAGTTATGGGTAAGGAACTAAATCTTTTGAAAGGCTCTGGCATAAAAAAAAAAAAAACTAAAAAAAACCACATTTTCTTAATCAAAGGGCTGTGGTCTGTCATTCCTTCTCTGAAGTAAATTTTAGAGTTTACCAAGAACCATTAGAATTTCCTTGTTAAAAATTCAGACCCTTGGCAGTTCAGTAAATAAGCAGCAATGGTGAGGCTTTCAGGTAAAAAGAGAAGTTTAAACGTATGAGACCGAGGCCACCTTTACTTCCTCCCCAAACTCCATTCAGGAACAGTAAAAGAATTTCTATTCTAAAGACACGAACCAACAAGGACAGAGAGAATAAAGCGGGAGACAATTGCTGCAGAATATTGGAAGCTAGAACGCAGATGGAAGAGTGACAAACAACACAGCAGACCTGAATCCAGACCTGAATCCTAAGTTGGCAGTGGGGAAAGATAAGACCCACCTCATTTTACCCCTTAGAAGCTCCAAAAGGCTCTAGGGTAGAGGAAATGCTAAACTAAGCAGGCCTGGCTGCACATCTAAGAAGCGGCCAGATCCATAGATGTTCTCCCCCACCTTGCACACCTGGGCTATTTGCCCATCCCACACATACCCCAACAAATAACTGGAAGTTTGTTTTCTAGAAAGACTAAAGGGAGAGCCTCTGAACTGGCAGCTGTGGTGTTGGAGGAGGAATGGCACAGTTGAAGGCACGTGAATGGAACTGGATGAATACATGCACATAGGATGCTGAGGCCACCAGCCGTCTTCCCTTATTTTGTTCCAGAAGGCTGGCAGCCAGGCTTTCACCGTCTAGGCAAGAGACTGAAAGAAGGGGACCAGCTTAAGAAATGAGTCTATGGTGAAGCTGATGGCTGACAAGCCCTCCAAATGTATTCACAGCTTCCGATTCATATTTCAGTGCCCTGCTCCTGAATGCTCGCACGCAAGCTTCCAGGTACCCTTAGAAAGCCGCTAATGCAAAATCAAGATCCAAAAGGACAAGCAAATGGGAAAAAAAACCAAAGCGTAAGACAATTAGTAACTCCATCCAAGAAAAAAATTAACATGTTCAGAAATAATAATGAAGTCACAGTTTTCCTACAAGGCTTAGCTCTTAATAACACACAAAAATACAATGATATAAACGAAGGCTGGATGCGGTGGCCCACCTATG